TAAATATTCATATTTGTCTATATACTTTTGTCCATTATTGTATAAAGCCATTTCTGTAACCCTCCAATGAGGAAGACCTATGCTTTTTTCATATTTTTATGTTCTGAATCTGCATTTAAATTTTCATGTTAACATTCTTAAACGCCCAGTATTTGCAATAAAGTTTTTTGAATCCTTTCAGGTGAGTAACAAGCAAATGAGCTTTGATGATGGTTCCCAAAGCATGGGGGCGACAGCAGGCATCGAGAATGACATTGACAGTTCGAAGCAAATGTCTGATGTTCCGATAGAGGAATGCATGAACTTGCCAGATGGCAGGTCTGTTGATGAAGGGGTGACACCTATGGAAACAGATTAATAAGGGAAGAAGATTATGTTTGGACTGTGTGAAGCGGTTGTAGAAAGTTTTTCATGGGGAATCAAGTCAGCTTGACAAATTGCAGCTTTTGCGTTGCATTCTTGAAGCTGCGAGTTCAGATATTGAGTGCGTGTAGCCTTGAGCAGTTTGCAGCATTTGATCAACCATGGAGCCTATATACCAGGAGAAACTAAAACTTTTCTACTAGCAATCATTCATAAATGTTAAGTAAAAAAAACAGATACCTGCAGAATCAAACGGTCAGATGTCAGTGCTGGTACATGCTTGTATCACTACATCCTCAGTTAGGCGTCACGGTTTAGTGTCCTTTTTGCAGGTTCTCCTGATATATAGGCCCAAGAGCTGCCTTCCAGCCTTCAACGCAATTGGGTTTAAAGCATATGGGCTTTAAATAGGGATGCATCACACCCGAGATGACGTCTGGAATGTAACAAAAGCTTGTTCCGACTTGTATTTGTCATTACTGTCAATGTCGCAGCTGAGGGCTATTTCCATGTTGATATATTTTTATTTTTCATCTATTTTTTTGTTTAATCGTTTGAATATTGGTTCGATTCGTCCTTAAACAAATTTCATTTTCTATTAGATTTTATAGGCAAAAGTATTTTTGTATTTATCAGTGTTACCTAAATTCCAAAACAGCTGAAAAAAAGCAAGCTATTGAACGAACAGGTAACTGGAAGTCCAGGAATAAATTTCGCTTTTTAAAGGCTGATAAAAATTTATCTTGGAGTTTTAAAATTAATTTATTGAAGCAAAAATACACACAATATAGGCCGATTTCATGTTTTAAAAAATTATATTATCGTGGTGCCTTCCATTTCGGTCGAAACACTCCTGCAATGCTGTCTGCATGTGGTTAGAAATTGCTAAATATAATGCAGGTGTAATTGCTATAATTTCTTCTAGTATTCTTGTTTTAATACCAGCAGTCCTAGGCTGATTAGCATAAACTTTACTTTTAAGGTATCCCCACAAAAAAAGTCTAATGTGGTGAGATCTGGAGACCTAGCTGGCCAGTTCGCAAAAAGAACGGACCGATAATTCCTGAAGCCGACATTGCACGCCATACTGTTACTTTTGGGCTATGTAGGGGCCTTTGAATTGGATTCTCTGTTGCCCAATAGCGACAATTCGAGGTTGCCTGGAACAGGGTGGGATAGTGTGTGTACGCAAACATCCCCCTGGAAGAAGTGTTTATTGCATATAGGCTCGCAGGTGCTCTGATAGCCACGTGACAACTCACGCTGACTGGCAAAGCTATTCCAAGTGTTGTAATACTGCATAAACTTCTCATTACCTACATGCACTCAATTTCTTGTTGTCTGCTCTAATGGTGCTAGTTCATTGTTTAATTGGTAATTTAAGTTATGGAAACGATTCTTTTCATCAGTTCCAAACAGACGTACTAATGTATTTATATAACTTCGTAATTTTTATTGGATTATGTTAAATATTCAATAACGTCCCATTTACATCATTAGTTCGTCCAGACTTTAATACTACTAAGTTGCACGGTTCCACAATTTCATTTCATATTTTCATACTCGCATGTTTATTATTGATAAAGGTTGTCTCAATAAGAGCGCCGGATTTGATTTTCAAGAAAAACACAATTTCTTTCCGATTTAAGCGAGTATTTATATTTCATGAAGATGAATGGTTGCGATTAAACATGAAATAGGACATCCGGTAAATGGCCATCACGAAACCGCTGGCACAGGGCCAGTCTTTTCTTAAAATTCTGGATAACGTTTTCGGACAACTGTGGCTCTGTTTCCCGCATTGCGACTATATTTTCGAGGGACCGACCAGCATGGGTATCATGTAAAAAACCTATAAAACGTCAAAAAAACCTATAAGGTGTCATCTTGCAAACTAGGTAGTTTTTAGCGCGCAAACAGTCATTCCACGTTTGATCACTAGGATCGTTGTGAACGTCCATCTAAGAAGAAATCACTCAACTAAACTACACGCATTATTGGTTGCATATACAGGGTTTGTCCGGAAAGTAATAGGACTGAGTCGATTTAAAAAAAATTATTGAGCCAATCGTTACATTCTTTAAAAACTTTCATAATAGGCACCTCCTGCGTCCATGCAGCGCTGATAGCGCGATTTCCAAGCATTCAATGCGTCACGGAAGCGGCTGCGGAAGCGATGGGATGCCTGCCTTGGTCAGGTAGTTGTTCACAAGAACGGCGCTGTGAGCCGGGGCGTTGTCGTGGTGCAACTTCCAGTCAGCTGCGATGTCTTGTCGGACCCGATTGACCCTTCGTTTGAGTCTCCTGAGCACTTCCACGTAAAACTTGGCGTTGACGGTTTGTCCAGGAGGAACAAATTCATGGTCGACGATGCCTATGATGTCAAAAAAGACAATGAGCATCGTTTTTACTTTGGATTTGCTCATTCTTCCCTTTTTTGGGCGAGGAGACGCCGTCGTGTGCCACTCGGAAGATTGCCTCTTTCTCTCGGGATCATACTCAAAGATCCACGACTCACCTCTGAAAATAGCAAGATCGCATCTGGATGATTATGTGTATTGGTCGCATGTGTATAAAATCAGTGATATTTGGTGTGTGAGAAAATCCTTACTGAATATGCTACCAATGAAGTATATCTAGTGGCTGTGCACGGCGGGTTATTTTTATGTTGTGCTTGCTGAAGAGAGGTTATGTTAAAGTTATAAATTACGAAAAACTGAGGAGAATTGAAGGAAATCATCACCGCGCCCGCGTGTGTGTAATTACTGTTAGCATGTATGTAGCTTGTACTTCGACAGTCTACAGTGAATATAATTATTTTTTATCTCTCATTTTTGAAATTCAGCAAATTTGTATATGTAATTTCCAGAATGGATAAGAAAAAGTGGCTGCGCAACTAATTTCTAGCTTTGAATCTCGATTAAGTGTATTTGAGACAAGAACCCAATGTAATTATCATCAACACACACAACTTACATTAGACCTCCAGTAATGCCATCTCAGAAGCAGATTTTTCATCACATCGGAGCCAAAGTTTGATAACAAGCCTCATGATGTTTAGGTAACACGTACAACTAAGTGCTAAGTTAATATCTTGTAGAAAAACCTACATAACAGCATAATGTAAAAAAAAAATCGGCATAAAGTCACTTTTCAAGATACGTGATACCCGTGCAGGACGGCGACGGATAGTGGTCTTCACACTTAGCAATGTGAATTTTGTCTCAAATTTTGTAATTATCGGCGAACTGTCGACTCATTTGGCGCATTATTGCCACCGAAAATTGTACGTACTTTGCGAACTGTTTCCTCGTAATTTTCTCCATTTTTTTATGATTCATAAACGTTGCTCGTTTGAATACTGCTCGATGACGTCTAATCGCGAGGTCCGATAGCTGTCATCAAGTAAGCACCATATCATTCGTACAAAAAATTGCTTCAAATTCAAATCCGGCACTCTTGTTGAGACACCTATTATTCATATCATTTTGTAAAAATAGGATGGTATAGTCATTTTCATAAGGTGTAGTCATTGACACAAATAAATGAAAACTCCTTTCCGCGTGCGTTTTATTAAAGTGTAAGGTTATTTATGTCAAGTTGACAGTTGATTTTCCTGAAAAACTTTAAGATTAAATTGCACTACTACGCAGTAGTATCATCAGAGTTTCGTATGCCTGTATTGAGAGTGTTTGTATCAAACATTATTTTGCTTGTTTTATGAATTATGTAAGCCATTTTATTTAGTAAACAGTTGTACATAGTCAGATTATATTTAACATTTTGTAAAAAGCTTGTTTTAATAAATTTAGTTTTTTCAAAAAGACTCTGTGCGGTTATAAACTCTACTTTGAAGTTATTAGTGATGTGAAATTATGTATTTCTGTTTCTATTTTTTATAGATAAACACTGTGTATGGAACCAGTTTATAATAAATTGTTTCAAAGATATTTAGTTTGTCCAATATTTTTCATGATCATCGTCACTAGTACTTACATTATTAAAGTATTATGATTATCGTTCATGGAGAAAAAGATTTTTTATAATGTATAAAGAATAAAATCAATAAATTTAAATCGTACTAATATTCAGGTGTTTTTTGAGTCTTCCGGACTACAATAAGAAGTAAATGTAGTAGATAAACGGTGATAACAGGAAATACTAACACCCAAATCTTGAAAAGGTTAAATCTTTGGCGTCTAAATAATTAAAAAAGCGTAAATACGAGGGCACCGCAGCTTCTACGAAGAGCTTAAAGAAATTTGAATCCGTCTTTTAAACCGTCTAAAAGAACTTATAAAAACCTCCTCAGATAGATGGTTCCACAATCTCCCTATTGTCGAACAGCGGTACCATGGAGGAAAACTCTTGAGGAGCAAAACCCGTTGGCGCAGCGATAGAAGAGTCCCGAGAGAAGAGATATTTGGTCACTTTTTTTATACTCCAACTACCACGAAGGCCTAAGCACCCATTGGGTACCGTGGGGCTATAGCGGGATACATGCACACATTCTGGCTCCGCCTGCGAGATCCGCCGGGTGGTACCTCCGCGTTAGACAGTCAGAGACCATCTACCACCTACGGACAATCACAACATCCATAGCCAAGAGAAAAATTTCTCCTGGGACGGGACTCGAACCCGCACCGCGCACAGCGACTGATCAGGAGACCGAAGAGTCTACTACTGCGGCCACCGCTGCTGCCTGACAGCACTAACGCACTACGAACAGGATACGTTTCGGGAGTTACATTCTGACAGGATCTTAACGATTTGGCTGTCCCAGAAAAATTTTGCCTACTACTGCGTTTGAACAAGTATGGGTTTTTTGCTTTTCAAAGAATTGGGAAGCATATTTGTAGGCTTGTTCTGGCGCTCCTGGAAATTCCTGTATGCTCCCATGGTAATTGGTAAGATAAAAGGGACCGATAGTGCCGCACCTGTATGTGTGTAATGTGGTTATATGAGAAAAACTCCAATAAATATGAAAAAGCAATATGGTTTTCATTTAAAAGTTCGTCGGACACATCATTCAGTCTTACAATAAAAAATAATTGGTACATGGCATAAATTGACTAGCTTATAACAGCTCCAGGAATGTCAGAAGGTCAAACTGCATTTTGATTCTCAACCAACCTTTTGATATTCAGTGCTGTTATTTCACACACCTGATCGTTGAATGACATACAAAAATAGAAGAAATATATATATCTAAGACACAGCAAGTGTTAGTTTTAATTCTTATATTCACCAATTCACTTAGAACCACTATATACAGATTACCCTTATCACTCTAGGTTCTTTACATAAATATCGTGACAGAGCTGTTGCAAATTGTCAAATTCAAAGAAGCTTTTATTTCAAGAAATTATTTTTAGCTCTATGCGTAAGTATTATTTTCGTAAAATACTATTATGCATATATGCGAATATTCTTTTCAGTGAGTACACACGAAAATAAATATAATTTTGTTTGAAGACTTTGCACTAGTTCTGTCATACAATGTCGATCTTTTTCTAGCTCCTATATACATTTTGTTAACTGGTCAAATAAATTCTGTACCAGCTATCTTCAATACCCTTATACAGGGTGCGGCAGAGAGAACGGACGTTTTTGGGATGGGTAGTACTCTCCGCCTTCGTCTACGACAGAGGTGGGGAGGGTGCCGTTTGACTCGTGAGATCCTAGCATTATTTTACCAGTTGTCGTTATGGAGCCTTTGACGGTAGACCACCGCGTTTTCGCCTATGATTGTTTCGTCCGAAATAATGATTCAGTCATCGCCGTACAGCGTGAGTTTCGTCGCCACTTCAACATTCATCGGAATAGAGCTATTCCCTCTCGAAACACCATCCTTCGTTGGGTTGAATCACTTCGCAGGCCGTGGTAAACTGATCAACAGAAGACCAAGAGGAGCGCCGCGAACAGTTCGAACTCCTGAAAATGTTGAACGCGTTCGACTCGATCTGCCCGGAAACATGCTGCTGCACTTCGCCTTAGTGATCGTTCGGTAAGGCGAATTTTGCATATGGATCTCGGTTTCAGCACTACAAATTGGCCATTGTGCAACAGTTACAGCCCGGAGATTATGCACAACGAATGAGCTTCGCACGTGAGATGGAAGCACTGATCAATCAAAATGAGAACCTCATTTTGTTTATGAGTGACGAAGCCCACTTTCACCTAAACAGCATAGTTAACCAGCAAGATTGTCGTTATTGGGCTAATAAAAATCCGCAACAGTTACACGAAAGACCGCTGCACAGCCCAAAAGTAACGGTTTAATGCGCTGCATCGGAAACTTGCATTATTGGCCCTTACTTCTTCGAAGACGGTAATGGTGTTACCGTGAACTCAGAGCACTACGTCGACATGATCAGCAACTTCTTTCTCCCTGAATTACGACGGCGACGTGTTCCAATCCGACGTGTGTGGTTCCAGCAGGATGGGGCGACCGCCCAAACACCCCGAGCATCCATGGACGTTATTCGCGCTCTCTTCCCTGGTCGCCTTATTTCCAGGTTTGGCGATGTTCATTGGCCTCCTCGGTCCCCAGATTTATCCATATGCGATTTTTTCTTATGGGGACACCTCAAGGCTAGAGTATACGCGAACATTCCCCGAACTCTGGACGAATTGAAGCGCGAAATTCGCGTGGAAGTCGCCCAAGTTGAGAGAGCGATGTTGGAGAGAGTCTACGCGAACTTCCAAGAACGCCTCCAGCACTGCATCAACGATTTCGGCCACCACATGCCTGATGTGATTTTCCACACTTGACTGTCTCAAATGCTATTTCCTTGTGAACCCGATTCCATCAATAAATTTGTTTTCGAGTAAAAATTAACTATTTTATGATTTGTTTAAAACCGTCCATCCTCTCTGCCGCACCCTGTATAATGACTTATTTGCGAAAAACACACCATAACAAGATACTTATACTACCTGCTCTCATACGAATATCTAAGGGATCGGGGCTGACCGAGCATTTGTCGACATTCAGGTTCGTTAAAAGGGGTTCTTTTTGAATAAGATTAATAGAAAACGAACCAGAAAATTTTTCGATGCGAAGATACTTCCTGGACTAACATATCTATGACGTTTCAATGTTTGCCGTATACATGTCGCCAGAAGACGCACACTCAACTATACAGCTATAAAATGCAGAGTAAATTGCAAGTAATCATTTAACATTGGCTTAGAGCATCTTTTTGGTATTTTTATCAATGTGCTTGTGATGTTAATGAAAATTAATGATGTAAAGGTTGCAAGCATGGATCATTTTTGTGGAAGGAGAGGCAACATTATAGCAGAATATTTTTTTAAGAAAAATATCTTCCTTATAGGGTACAGAGGTGAAGGAAGGTTAAACTTGACATGTCTAAACGTATGCTGCTGGGCAAGTTTTGTATACTGAGGAAAGAAAGTCAGGTAATGATTCCATAACACGTTCCTAATTTTTTTTTGTTTACGTAGGAATTGTAACTTAAACATTGATGAAAGCTGGAATCAAGTTGGGAGACTCACTGCTTTCCATGCATCAATATGAACTTGTTTAGGCACATACAAATTATGAGCTGCTTTTTGAACTTGTCCAATATGCGAGGAACGTTAAAATAATTTTGGAGATTTAGAATACATATAATTTCAAGTGTAATATAAAAAACGAATTCCGGATTTGTAATAATGTAATGTAAAACAAAATTGTACATAAAATTTTCTTTATGATTTCTCTGTAACTTTCTGATAAACTACACAACCCTCAGGCGAACCCAAGGTGATTATATTTTGAATTAACATCTAAACGTGACGTAAAAAATTGATTGATGCATATTTTCAAATCAAAATGTATCGTTAAAAAAATCTTTTCTCATCATCTCGTTGTTTAGTGCTACAAGAAACTACTTGAAACATTAGAATAAAAGTAAGGATGATATTTTTAATTTTAACATATACTTAATATTTGGAATGCCAGCTAGACAATTACTGAAATGCAAAGTGGTTATTTATGTAAGTTTCAAAAATTACCAAACCATATGCTGTAACTGACTAAAAATGTGTCTATTTTGATAGAAGCAGACTTGCAGTTGCTATAAGGCATCTCTGATAATATTACTATTAATAATACTTAGGTATCTGCCCACCCCCTAACACTATGATATGGAACTTATACTAAAATAGTTTTTTTCCGCAATTGTTCGAATATATACTATTTACTGGCATATCATGTTTAGTTAACAATTATTATTAATATGGTAACTATTATCATTCAACCATTTGAAATGCATATAGGATACGAGATGCAGTCTATATCTACAGTGTCATATTTAAGTACCATTTTATTCAGATTTCACTTTCTTGCTTTCTGTTGATTCCTTTTCCTTCCTTATTTGTTCTTTCAGCTGGGCTATCTTCAGGTTTGTCATAAGTTGTGTGGATTGATACAGCCAGCTTCCCTAAGATGATACGAAATATATGAAAATAAGTTGTTAATTCAATGTTAAAAGTTAATATCAAAAAGTATTCTTGTGGTTTAGTGTTAGCTAAAAAGTCTAACAAAACGTCGATTTTGAAGAATTATGACCTTCATTGTGGCCTGTTCAGGAATCTAGAAAAGTGGCTATTTTTTGCACTAAATACAGGGTGTTTCACTAGTTGTGAAAGAGACTTCATCGGTCCATAAAACATAGCGTAAAAAATCTGGTTGTGCAGCGATTTGATGAAGAAGCCATTGACAAAATTGAACTCTAGGATAAAGGATAAAGTTGTTGCTCGTGTAGCACCCGCCAGACGGAAGCGTTACTCGTATTCATATCCTCAGCAATGTGTGCTACTTGATGGTTCGTCGGCAACTCGCTGAAGGACCCCTTCTTCAAATTCGACCGTTCTTACGGTTCGAGCAACACCAGTATCATGCATGTTGGTTTTAAACATGCCTGTCTCGGAGAGCCGCCGATGAATAGCAATAAACTTTTTGTATCCCGGATGCTGTCGTTCGGGACAACGTTCTTGATACAATCGCGCTGCTGCTCGTGCATTGCAGCTTGTTGCTCCGTATGCCAAATGCATATCTGCCAATTCTTGATTGGCAAAGTTTTCCACTAGCAACAATCAATTTCTTGCAAACTTCACAAATACGGTATCACGACTAAGGCGATATGGAATGCAGCTACAAAAACAGTTTCTGTTATCGTTTTTTAAAGATTGTTGTTATCAACACAAAGGAGCCGGATATGGGTCCCTATACTTAAATGTTTTCTACTGTTACACTGAATAACTACTACAAGTTTGATCCCATTGTTCTGAAACACCCTGTATAAGAAATACATTTTATTTTATTCAATTCGATGAAGTAAAACTTACCACCATCAGTATGCAGTTCAAAAGTATAGGAATGGAAAACACCACTGATATGAAAAGTCCATTGCTGTCAAAATACTGTTGTCTTGAGAATATCTTCCAATTCGTTGCGGCCAACTCATTGATGCTTTCAGAGAAGTATACAAGCAGTACTGTAACAAATTCCATTCAATTTTCAATCGGGTACTACACTATAAATGTTTTAGTGTTCTTACATTATTCTGTAATATTTATTTGGATATGGACAATGTGTAATTGATAAATGACACTGTGCTACTATTATTTACTATAAAAAACAATTGCTTTGTCGAAAATCGAACTCCCGCCTCGTCAAGATTAATGATATGTACAGATATACATTATAAATGTATACATCCGTGTTTATAACTGGGATGGAAAAAAATAAAAAAATTAAATAATCCCAGATGCAGAGGAGAACTAAAGAGGTTTTCTATAGTCGTCAATTACTTACATAAACAGAAAAATAATACCGCTTGGAAGTTTCCATAGTTCCTAGTTAAAATTGCCATCATAAATACTGAAATGTGGAATATGATCAACCCAATTAACCATGGGTCTCGCCAGTCAATCTGTAATGGAATGATAAATTATTATGGACTATAAAAATGCTCCATCTGACAAGATGACTAGGTAGAGAGTAGATCATTAGAATACTTATAATAAACTATATCTAAACTATATGCTACAACTGTCATCAGCAAATTAGGGCAGAAGGGAGAATTTTTGTAAACGTCTGTGATTTCCTGGGATGCTGCAATGGTTTGGGAAGGTACTGGGGTGAATATTTAGAATTGTGATTTGGTTGATGCTCATTTTACCCCAAATTATAGGATTGTTTTTATTCATTGCATTCCTATACAAATTCAGCTAGAGTTGTTGGGGAACATTGAACTCTGGGAGTGTGTACATTCCTACTTTCAACTTGTTATTTAGCCCTTTCTGTCATGAGTTATGTGTTAAATTATGTGAGGCTTGCCTGACGTGGAATACATTGAAATAAATGAAATATTTATGGGTGAATACAATTTGGGATCTCAATGTTCCGCCAAAAAAATCTTAACCAAAATGTTGAATTGTGAAAATAAATCAACCAAATCTGTAAAATGAAATGAAGGTAACCATTCAGATTTGGGCGCAATATGATTGAAAATTAACAAAACGTATACTTCCATGTATGCTCCATTCATGACTTTCACTACAAAAATCAACAAATGTCTGCGAATGTACCAATATACAAATACACCTGAAGCAATTCAAATTGCATGTTTTATGCAAATGTGACAATTTCGCGATTTCACCTTGATGAATGTGCAGCAAATCAAAAAATGATAGTTTGAAACTAGGGTAATTTGGAGTACTGAAACGTTGCTCGCATAGTGTCAGCCAATACCCATTTGCTAGTAGCAGAATTTACCCTAGTAAGTAAATCTTTGTGTTTTTCAATGGTACATTACTGCAAATATGTAAAAACAATGATTCTTGATTATGAAAGTCAAGAATCATACATAATATAATCCTTAATGTATCTTAATTTTTTTGAGGTTTTGAACATTTTTGTCAGTTTCCTAGCATCACTTCTCTGGCAGTTTCTATGTCAACTACTTTTTCTCTTTCTGGTCTGTGTTATTTTCTTTACAATAAAAACACAACCATTTCCCTGAAGGTCGGTGAGCTCTCAATATATAAGATCTTGTTTCAAGACTGATTAAACTGAAGTCTTATTTGTTTTTTAAAAAACTATCAAATATATATATATATATATATATATATCTTTTTGATAGTGTAAAATGTCACTTCCCTGACCACACATTTTCCTCTGGTACCTAGAAATCTGTCAAAATCCAAATATTTCGTGACCCTGTCATCACATAATAAATATGAAAACAAAATAAGCATTCTTTAGTTGACAATAAAAACCCAAATACTGCATACCTTATACAAATATTTATATTCACCCCTGAATTTCTTAGGCTGGCATTCAATGTGTTTTTTATATGAATCATTTATAAAGATTATTTGATGTCATGAGAATTTGTTTTTGTTTATTTACATTGTAAACTGTTCAAGATTTGAAAAAGTGGTGTGACAGTGATAATGCATTGATTAGATAAGCCTCTAAAAAAATGATGTATCAGTAAACTCATAAACATAGCAAAACAAGAGGGAAGCATATATGAATCTCAAGATCCAATTTGAATATCAGTTTGTAAACATACACCTGTAATTAATACTAAACATTTATAATAGTAATAGTAATGACTTCATAGACGAATTTTATAACTGATTTGCACATATAGCAAGCCATAAAGCCCCCCCTTAATACACCCTTGAGCAGGGTTATATTCAGAATAGCTCTAGATGTTCAGACTTCTCTTTATTCTAAAATTATTACATGTTTAAATGTCAGAATTACAAAATGCATTCTATCCAAAACTCAGCCAACTGCAGTTAAAAAAATGTTCTCATATTTTACAACAAGCAGACTGCCAGGTCTCAATGGATAATACAACCAGCTTGTCTCCACAGTCCCCATTTGTGAGAGAGCTGGCTATATATTCACACAATTTTATACATTGCTAACAGGTTCTCATTTGTATAACAGTAAACACATGAGACACAGGTGATCAAATTCATCGTTTACTGCACAAATTGGATGAACTTCATGATAAAAAACAGTCCCAGGAATATAGTGACACGTATAAATTTGCAGCATTTTTAACGCCATCCCAAGAACAAAACTTGCATATTCAGGTATGAAAACTTGCATAAATTAATCGGTTAGTACGAAAACAGCGGTAATTTTGGATTACCTTGAACTAAAATGCAATAATTTGTATGCATAAATAAAATACTTACGTTCCACAAAAATGCCAGGAAATTGTCAATTTTATCCACTTCTATGAAATCGTGTTCGAACATATCGTCATTTGTAATACAGCACGCACTAAACACAATACGGGTGAATCTTCAGTTTATTTTGCCAAATAATTTGAAACAAAATTTGTTCACTATTTTGGCACTTTCCTCCACAAAACAAAAAATTATTAGGTTAATGTTATGACAGATAGCTGACAGTGACATTGTTGACAGGTTATCATAGAATATAGAGATGACGAGAAGAGAATGTGAGAACTGAGAACAATTCTGCGTATATTGACAGCAGTGCTTTAAGTACGAGGGGCGTCTTAAGAGTTACACTATTTTACTGTTCATTGCCATAACGGAAGATTACGCATGAACTCTGTGTGAGTCTATGAAATTGTCCATAGAAAAACCTTTGATGATAATGAATGGTACTTAAAGATACGACTAGCAAGACGAGCTTCAGTAGTTTTTATTGATAGAAAAAATATACATATAGGGTTCACATGATAAAATCAAATGTTCAAGGCTTCTTCTACAGATTCTGGTAGTGGTATTCCACGAGTCTCGGGTAACTTTAATGCCAATACTCCGGCAAGTAAAGCAACAAGTCCAAATAACAGCATTGGTAGTGCAGAGTAGTATAAGCCCTGAAATATTATTGTATTTGGAGTAAGAATATATCAAAATAATAAGGTAATAAAGGATGTGCTACGGGCAATGACGAGTGACCGAGGAATAACGTTACTGGCCAATCAATGATGACGATATATGTCCAGCAAAACTACTGGGCAATGTTGATACACATCCATGCTGATAGCATCATTGGCCGGAAAATAAAGTTGTTGCCCGGCATTAGTATTTATTTGACAACAACCGTATTGATGTATAGTAGGGAAAGTAAAACAGTCCTTTAGGGAGAAAAAGGTATAGTAAGACCACCTTCTCTAATCCGCAAAAACAAAAGTAAGAACGACTATATAATCTCGCGGTTCTGTTTGAAATAATTTTACACCTACCAACATTGGTACGAAGGGTGCCATCAGTGCACCGAACCTAGCGATAGTAGATGCGGTTCCAACCCCGCCACTTCTTATGATCGTTGGTAGCATCTCTGCAGTGTATACGTACACAACTCCAAACGCTGAGGTGATTCCGAGCTTGCCAACCAAAAACAGAGCTACTACTGTCCATCCTGTTGCGAAAATCGTTAAAGTACAAGTGACACCTGTAATATAAGATATAAGAGCATAAAGTCGATACCATCCTTTTAAGGAGTGATAAAATACACACATAAATTGAGCTACATACGAGTGCCGTCCGATAAGTACTTAGCCTACAAAAGAAAAACGAATATTTAGGAAAACCGGCGATTTATTTCTCAACATAGTCTCCTTTTAGCTCTATGCACTTGACCTAGCGATGCTCCAACTTCTTCAATCCGTCTGAAAAATACGTTTTTTCGAGGTCTGCAAAGTATGCCTACGTGGCCTCCTCATTCGACTCAAATTTCTGGCCGGCGAGTGATTTTTTCTAGTTTGGAAACAAAAAAAAAATGTAGCACGGTGACAAATCTGGAGAATACGGTGGACGGGGCAGCAGTTCGTAGCCTAATTCGAGAGATTTGACCATGGCGATGGCGGAGATGTCTGCCGGTGCGTTGTCATGTAGGAAGAGCACTTTTTTCTTTGTCAAATTGAGTAGAATCGGCCCAATAATTCGGCATAGTAGAGCCCTGTGACCATTTTGCCCTTCTCCAGATAGTCGATGAAGATCACACATTACGAATCCCAGAAAACTGTGGTCCATGACCTTTCCGGCCGATAGGAGAGTCTTCGTCTTCACTGTTTTGACTGTTCCTGGCCTTTGGTGTGCATCAGTGGATCTATGTTTCGTCGACGTTCACGAACCAACGTAGAAACGTCCTCGGATTGCGCTTAAACAGCGTCAAACCATGGTCTGAGCCATGCGGTCTTTTGAGATGCCTACTGTCTGAATCTTCAATTGGTGGGGCTCATCAAATATCGACGTGTGACCACGTTGATACTCGTTAATGTACTACATGATAGTAAATGTCTCTTGCGATAGTGGCGCCATCGGGCGGTAAGACTAAGTACTTATCGGAACGCCCTCGTATACTTTAATACAAAGTCGAACACCTTTTAAGTTACGCTTACGCGCAATTTTGTGGGGTTCTAGAAAGAATCCAAAATCGTGCGATGAATCATCGCTTGTTCAATAACGAAGAGCAATTCCGTTGTTCACTTATTTTTATATCATTTATCATAATATATAATCTTATCTTCCTGAACAAATAGTTTCCAAACTATCGAAATATCGCGTACATGTTATTTTGGTTAACTGAGTGGTTAGATTTTCCGGTGATTCGTGGCTTTTTGAACTAATTTATGAAAAAATTGGCAACAGTGTACATTGAAAATACTTTCTCCAATTCTTCTCTTTCTTAAGTCATATCATATGAAGCAATAAAGCCATATTTTTCTTCTCAAAAACTGAAAACATTAGATCAAGCATAATGTCATCGAAATTACAAAAAACATAAAATCCACTTTTCGTGAAACAAAGTACTTGATATTGACAACATTATTCCTTCATTCGATAACAAAATTTTGTTTCTTAGTAATCTTTCGATAACTTGAAAACTATAAAACTGAAAAAAAACCTTCAGAAGCAGAAATTAAAGAAGAAATCATATCCCAGAATACATTCATTAATGAAAACGAAATCGAAATCACTTTTGTACGACACATACCATTCCGAAATTCTTATACTATATTCGCTGAAGTTTCTGGAGAGACATATTTATCAACAAGAAATCAAGAATACTACTAGGTTGACAAAACTTATTTGTCTATGACAATAACCAGATATCGCAGTGTAGAAAATGCTTGAAGTTTGGTCACACAGACAAAAAATGTAGGGGCGCGGAAATGTGCATTAAATGTGGACAAGCACATAGAAGTGAAATTTGTACTGTAAACATTTTAAAATGTTCTAACTGTATGAACTATAACGTTAAGCATAATAAGAATAATGATGTTGGTCACTCGCCCACAGACAAAAAATTCCCGTCGTATTTATATTTTCAAAAACAGTATTCATCCAGAATAATGTTTTGAGCGTTTAGTTCTTTTTACGTTTTTCGAGCTACATATCATTTGCAAAATTTTACACGGATAGTTACGTAAATAATTTTCAGATTAATCATATCAATACAAATATTGCTCAAGACGCAAATGCTCTTAATAAATGGTTAGAATATTCTAATTTCAATGTTAGCTTATATCACATGAATATACGAAGCCTAAACCAAAATTTTGACTGTTTTAATATCTTCCTAACTACATTTAAACACAAATTTGATATAATAATATTCACAGAAACTTGGAAAATTAATGATGTATCTTTGTTCTGTTTGGAAGGTTATGAAACGCTTTACAATAATGGTACGTACAACCAGAATGATGGGGTGGTAGTATATGTAAGAAATGATATCAACTACAGATGTGATTTTGTTAAATTTGATGACGGTATCACAGTGTTGGATTTGATATTGAGAATTAGGTAATAACAAAAGTGTAAAAGTCACATCTGTCTATCGACCACCATCATCAAACCCTTGTACATTTGTAGAAAATCTTGAACAATTTTTGTTAGATAACAAAAATGCCATACAGTCACACCACATCATAATAGGAGATATGAATATTAATATACTCCAACATACCAAATTAGTAAACAAATACCTCACTGTAATGCAGAGCAATGGATTCATATCAAATATAAATTTACCAACAAGAGTAGTCAATAATAGTTCCAGTTCTTGCATTGATCATTGCTTCAACAAAAATTTTTCAAATTTCTTTCGGTACATACCGTTAATTGTTGAAAACCATATTACCGATCATTTACCCACTGTAATACTTATATCATCACCAGAAAAAAATAAAAGTAGATCCATCTCCAATAATGAAACAGTGAAATTTAGGTGTTTTGTCGATAATAAAAAACTACTTGCAAATATCAAATTAGAATCGTGGACAACAGTGTACTGTGCAACGAATGTTAATGATGCTGCAAACATACTCATTGAACGCATAAAATACTTAATTGAATGTAGTACAAACAGAGTTAAACTTAAACATTTTGACAGAAGCAGGAATCCCTGGATAACTAAAGGTTTGATAAAGTCTGCCAACAAAAAAGAGGAACTATACAAAATAATGAAAGCATCGCCATGTGCAGATACCTCCCATAAATATAAAGAATATAAAAATATTTTTATCAATCCAGTTAGAGAAGCAAAACGCCAATTCTATCTAAAAAAATTACAAGATGCCAAATCTGATCCAAGAAAACTGTGGTCAGTTGTCGATCACTTAACTAACAAAGACGTTCAAGAAAAGCCAAATATTGATGAAATTAAGAATCGTGATGGAACAATATAAACAGATAAACGACAAATATCCGATGCATTCTTAAATTTTTTCACTAATGTTGGAGAAAATTTAGCATCCAGTATTAAAAAAATGGTTTCGAATGAAAAGTTCACAAAAACCCAACTTCCCAATTCATTCTTTTTAGAAAGCGTTAGTCCGATTGAAGTACAAGAAGCTGTCCTATCACTTAAAACCAAAAAAGTCCTGGTGTAGATGGTAACAAAGCTGACCATTTAAAAATAATAGCCTACGACTTAGCCGCACCACTTTCTTACGTCATTAATTGGTGTTTCCAATCTGGAATTTGTCCTGATGCATTTAAAACAACTGTTATTACTCCTGTTTATAAAAGCGGTGACAGAATGGAAACATCAAATTATAGACCCATATCAGTACTATCGAATATAGCCAAAATTTTCGAAAAATTACTACAAAAAAGGATATTACAATTTTTGGACAAAAACAAAATTATATGTTCTGACCAATATGGATTTAGAAAAGGAAAATCTACTACAGATGCAATTTTGGCTGCAATGGATGAAATTAACTCTAATGTCAACAAAAAGATTCCTACTATTGGTATCTTTGTTGATCTAAAAAATGCCTTTGATACGGTTAACTATGTCGAGCTTCTGAAAGTTATGGAAAGATTGGGATTTAGGGGAGCGTCACAAATACTTTTAAAAAATTACCTTTCAAGTCGGGCACAGACTGTCAAAATCACTAACACTTACAGTAAAAAAATGTACATCAAGTGTGGTGTGCCTCAAGGAACAGTACTAGGCCCACTATTATTTAGTCTCTACTTAAATGACTTATTCAAAATTAACAGTTCTGGAAAGATTATATGTTTTGCAGATGACACCCTCGTATTATATAAAGCTGATGACTGGAGCACACTGAAGCAAATAGCTGAAAAGGATTTTATAAGGATCGTTGACTGGTTTGATACTAAAATTTTAACAGTTAACTTCAAAAAAACAAAATTTATTGCATTTACATCCTATTCAAAATTTTTACCTACCTTCAAACAAATTTCCGTTAATTATCATGGCCAAAAGACCAAAATCGATAGAGTTAACACTTTGAAATATCTTGGAATATTTATAGACTCACATCTAAGGTGGGATAACCATATTAAATATGTTATCAAAAAAATTAGAAATGTTGCCTATAAACTCAAAATGATTGCTAACATTCTTACAGAAAGTTATCTGCGAATCCTATACCATGCCTTAGTTGAAACCCATATAATATACGGCATCACAGCCTGGGGTGCCGCCTGCAAGACATATATTTCTGACCTGAATATAGCACAAAAAACTGTTTTGAAAGCCATTTTCCATAAGCCAAGATTATATCCAACGAACAACTTATATCAAGAAACAGGGATACTTGATACAAGACAACTTTATTTCTTACATGCCACCACCTTATACCATAAGTATTGTAATAAAAAGAAAAAATCCTATAAACACGAGCATAACACACGATTTCGAATATGCTCATCTAATATCCAAAGACCACACAAAACATTATTCAAAAAATCGTTTAAATTCTTAGCAGCTAAATTATATAATGTAGTACCAAACGAAATAAAGATACTTAATTTTGGAAAAAAATTTACAAGAAAATTGAAAGACTGGGTTAGTAATGTGCAGCGAATGACTGAACATAATTATATAGAAAACTAAAACTACAAAATTCCAATTACATTAATACCTTTTATATTTAACAATAATTGTTATACACATATATGATTGATTGTTAGTTATTAAGATATAAACAACACACAAGCGATGCCTTCTGTGGTTTTTTCATATTTATTTGCCCATTTTTTGTATTTTGGCGAATAAATATTATTATTATTATTATTATTTGTATAGAGAGGCTATACATCAAGTTAAATGGAAAAAAATAAGACAACAAAGCAGTTGCTCTTCATTATTGAACGAGCGTCTGTTTATCGCATGATTTTGGATGCTTTCCACGATTCCACAAAATTGTACGTAACTCAAAAACTATGTGGCTCTAGCTGTCTTAAATGGGAATTGGAGTAAGGCTGGTATTGACCTTCCGAACACTCTGTATAAGCAAGGATTTAGTCCTTTGGTAAGACGGCGGTATTGCAAGACATCTGAAAGAGACGTAATGTAACCCACTGCAACCATTACGAATCTATTGTAAATCCCCGTACACTAGGTCAAATCAAAACAAAATGAGATGTCATCGTCAGTCCGAGACAAGAAAAGAAACAGCCAACCATGGACAGCTGTTTCGTGCTTCTTATCTATTCATCAGCATGGTATAGGCTTGAGCTCTTATCTCTCGACGAACAAACGAAAGCATCACGTTGATCCTCTATAACGGAGGTGCGGTTTATCAGCATGAGATAGCGCAAAGCGCCATCTATCGAACCATTGTAAATCGCGTACCACTGCTATTAGTTGGAACCATCCCAGTTCCCGTTCAATAGCAGTGCCGCTAGATGGCTGATGATTGTGGCAGAATCAGAGGGGTCTGCTAGACTCATTGAACAGGTCAAAACAAAATGATACCTTCGTCTGTCCTATTGTAATAAATACAGTAAATGTGGTTTCTCAGAAGAAACAACCTAACACGAGGAAGTCGTCAAAGGTCAAGTTACCACAGTTCTGTCTTGTGAACGTATTACATATTCTTGATTTAAGCCGAAGTAAAGTACTCCTCATTTACTTACCGCAAACAACTAAAGATGCAACAAGAGACAGTCTTCTACCAATTTTTTCTATAGCGATCCACGCCAGTGTGTATCCAGGAATCTCTACCAAGCACACTAGTGCAAAGTTGATATACTTGTTGCCTCCCAGACTCGTGGAATTGATGGAAAGGCCGTAGAAGATGAACGCGTTCACACCCCAGATGAAATACATTATTGTTAATCGTAGTATCATAATTCTATAGCTCAACATTTCCCTGACTACCGTTAGTATTCGTTGAGTTTCGTTGTGGTTCTGCATTTGTTTTGCCTGAAATGTTTTGATATTCAGTTGGAGTAAGTAACATGGACGCACAAAATGGGTATAACATTTGTTGTGGAAAAACTTTTTATTCGACAAACAAATAATGAGAAAACGTGTTCTTTGGGATTCAATTGAAAGTGTTGACAGGAACGAGAAAACTCTTCAAATAAGATTTTTAGGTATCTATGTATGAGAGAATCAGACCACACGTAATAAGATCCGACTAATAGTAAAACTCTTCTAAACAAATTCAAACATTTCGTATTTGTGAGGAATTGAACAGATTCGCTACAGTATTCTAAAAACATGCATCGTTATAGACATTTTAAAACAAAGAGGGGAATGTCTACCACCTTTTGTTGTGAAGAAAAGCAGATTTCTTCATACTCTTGAGTATACATATACTAAGTGACATATAAATCCGAACACCCAGTTTAAATGGTTTTATTTTAATAAAAGTTGGTGAACGTATTTGTCTTACTGTAAATAACAAGTGAAAAAATTTTCAGCCTTATCAGTTGGACATTCCGGTTTTTATACTGTTTTTTTTTAATTCACTAACGCTCTAAAAATGAATATTTCAGCCGCAGTAAAGAATCAACGTTGGTGGATTTTGGTTCCTGACATCCTTTACGATCGGTTACGATGCCTAGAGTACGGAGACCTGTACGATTTCGTCAACTGAGTGAGTTTGCCGTATAGTGGGACTTCGGGAAGCTGGACTTTCTTTTCGGCAATTGCAGTTAGAGTTCAAAGAAGTGTAGACACTGTGGTTAGGTGTTGTTAGGCATGGCTTCGAGAAGGCCGTACGCAAAGAGCAAGGGGCACTGGACGCCGCCGTAGAACAACAGACCGTGAAGATCGCCGCCTAAGATTATTGGCCTTACGGGACCGTTTCTCCACTACCAGGTCCATTGCAAATGAATGGTTTGCAGAACACGGAAGACCTACTGGCATGCGAAGTGTCTACCGACGAATGAGAAGTTTTGGCTTGTTTTCATACCGGCCACACTGGGTCCTCCCTTTAACTCGAGAACACCGATGTAATCGCCTTGAGTGGTGCAGACAACGGTCACTCTGGGACCAGGAATGGAACAGTATTGTCTTTAGTGACGAGTCTCGATTTTGTTTAGGCATACACGATGGTCGTGCCAGGGTTAGAAGGCGACGTGGCGAAAGGAGGAATCCACAGTTTTTTGTTGAAAGACATGTTCATCACACTGTTGGAGTTATGGTTTGGGGTGCTATAGCCTATGCTTCCAGGTCACCTTTAATCTTCATCAGAGGTAACATGAACGCGCAGCGTTATATCCACGAAGTTCTAGAACCCCATCTTTTACCCTATCTTGACACCCTGGCAGATCCAACTTTCCAACAAGATAATGCCCGACCACATGTTGCAAGAGTCACAATAGACTTCTTTCAACATAATGATGTCATATTGTTACCATGGCCACCAAGATCTCCCGACTTATCCCCAATTGAGCACGTGTGGGATATGATGGGTAGGAGATTGCTCAATTTGCAACGTCCTCCTCAGACTCTAGAAGCACTTCGAGAGGAGTTGGTGGTTGCCTGGAATGAGATACCACAGGAGGACATTGACCACCTGATCAGAAGCATGCCTAGGCGCGTTGGAGAATGCGTAGCACATCAGGGTGCATTCACACATTATTAAAGGTCAAAGGGCTTTAAAGCAGTGCAATCATTTTGAAATTTTTATCATTTACTCATTATGCTTCATTAAGTACAAAATTTTATTAAAATAAAACCATTTAAACTGGGTGTTCGTATTTACAAAATTATGTTTCAAACTGTCTTAGACTAGTTACTAGATAGCATGTGGTAAATGGCTGGATTATTGATCACTGCATGACTTTGTCAAACAAGTATGTCACGTAATCCAGTATTTTTACGAAGAAATATCATTTCATGGACCTTTTTTCCAAAAGTATCTCGTACGATTAAAACGACTACGAGTTCATAATATTTAAAAATAAATAAACTCCAGATGACGAAAAAAAAAGTCGACAAATATCAACCAATTGTAGCGATCTGACCGTCTGAAAAACTAGCTAAAATGCTCGGTATTAGTTCTTAATACATTATTTAAAGTTTCAGCACTGTACAGGGTTTGTCCGGAAAGTAATAGGACTGAGTCGATTTAAAAAAAATTATTGAGCCAATCGTTACAATTCTTTAAAAACTTTCAAAATAGGCTCCTTCTGCGTTGATGCAGCGCTGCCAGCGCGATTTCCAAGCATTAAAGGCGTCACGGAAAGCACTCTCCGGAATAGCCTTGAGAGCCGCGGTGCATGCTGCTTGGATCCCATCTGTCATCTCAAAATGCTTGCCTTTCATCGGCCTTTTCAGGCGAGGAAACAAAAAAAAGTCCGGGGGGCCACAACTGGGCTGTAGGGCGGCTGCGGAAGCGTTGGGATGCCGGCCTTGGTCAGGTAGCTGTACACAATAAAGGCGGTGTGAGCCGCGGGGCGTTGTCGGATCCGACTGACCCTTCGTTTGAGTCTCCTGAGCACTTCCACGTAAAACTTGGTGTTGACGGTTTGTCCAGGAGGAACAAATTCATGGTGGATGATGCCTTTGATGTAAAAAAAAACAATGAGCATCGTTTTCACTTTGGATTTGCTCATTCTTCCTTTTTTTGGGCGAGGAGACGCCGTCGTGTGCCACTCGGAAGATTGCCACTTTGTCTCGGGATCATACTCAAAGATCCACGACTCGTCACCTGTGATTACGTTATTCAAAAATTGGGGGTCACTTTCACTCATGTTCAAATTTTCTTGGCACACTTCCACTCGCCGCAATTTCTGGTCGTCAGTGAGCACTTTTGGGACCATCTTCGCGCACACCTTGCGCATGTTCAAATGCTGTGTCACAATGTCATGAACCACAGATTTTGGTAAATTTAACATCTGGGCAATTAACCTTCATAAACCCGTGGTCAGAAATTTACGTTAAATACCGAGTGGGGTGCAAATGTACCCCAACGTTTTTCTGGCTTATTTAATTACTGTAATTAAAGATTTTCAAAAATAAACACATTCTGATTATAAAAAATATATATTTTTACATAAGTATGCTATAACATTGATAAACAAACACATTTGGAAAAAATAATTTGAAATGATTATAATATAAAGAAAGATAATTAAGAAGAAGATAAATATGTGATATTTTAAATAATAATTTAATTATCACACTTATTACAAACGGTTATATTTTTAGAATGTTCTGCACATACGTACTGATTACACCGAATACAAAACTTTCGAGATTTCCTGTCTTACTTCTGTCGCATAAAAAACATCGCTGCTGTCTCCGAATAGCGGGAGCAGGTGGTTCATTCCTTACAATATTTAATTCTGGCAAAATTGTTAATATGGATTGTTTTATATTGGAATGTAACGACTTGTCATTATGGTATCTACGAATTATATTCTTCTTAATTAATTCTTGACCCAACTCCAACAGAAACATTCTTCTCCTATCTAAACGATTTTTTTCCAATCTGGATTTTTCAACATCCATAGTTTATAGGCGTTGATGCCACCAATATCCAGCAGATGAAAAAATATTACCATCGGCCATCCATTACTTTTTCTTTGAGTGGTAAATTCCTTTGCCAATTTATCTGTTGTATCTACTGCACCCTTAGTTTTGTTGTAGTGTAAAATGATGTCCGGTTTATAGTCACATTCCTCTCCACTTATTCTGTCATCGTTATGTTCTGTTGATAAAAGGATAACTGCCGCATTTTTCTTTGGTACGTAAGAAACTAATGTTTTATTTTCCATAAAAGCAAACATGCTTGAAAATTCTTTCTTGTATTTTGCTGGAAGTAGTTCTTTTGGAATATAAGGTTCATTTTTACGCAGTGTTCCACACAAGGTAATGTTTTTATCTAAGAGCTTATTGGCCAACTCAATACTGGTAAAAAAGTTATCAGTAGTTATCCCATATCCTGTAGATAAATGGTTTACCAGGTCAAACACTACCCTTTGACCTTGACCTTTCTCTGGTTTGTTTCCTTCTTTGCCTAAAATTTTAAAATCTATAATATCTGCATGTTCTAGGACATAGCTTACCTAAATAAATTTGCATATTCACTGTATACGCCAAACTACAATCAGCCAAGGCCCAAATTTTTAATCCATATTTGTCCGGCTTACTCTTCATGTAAACCCGAAAAGGAGCCCTACGTCGGAACGGAACTAACTGCTCATCCACGCACAAGTGTTCAGATGGATTTAAAGATTTCTTTCAATAGATACAAAAACATCAAAGACATCTCTGATTGCGGCAAATTTATCAGTGCGTTTTCTTTCTTCTCTTGTTTCAAAATTGTCGAATCTTAGAAAGCACATAATTTGTTGGAATCCGTTGCGAGACATAGTAGATGATACCAAAGGTCGACATAAAGTTGGGTCTTGGCTCCATAATACGCATATTGGCTCTTTAGCAGCATGCCAGGCTCCAAAAATAATAAGCAAACCAATAAATGCTTCCAGTTCCTCTTGCACAAAAGGAGAAAAAGCCTTCCCATTTCTTGCATAATATGATCCGGCTTTTCTATTCGTCTCCGATAAAATCACATTCATAATATCTTGTGAAAAAATAGGTCAAAGGATTCTTTTATGCTGGAAAATTGGGAGCTATATCTCGTCAAACCTGTTGGACCAGACCGTGTGAACAGTCCACGACCCTAGCTGGTTCATTATTCACTCTCCACGTCGCTAAAGCAAAAACGTCTTCTTGCCCCGAGAGAACGTAGCTTAAAATATAGTTCTTCTTATCTTGCCTTCTTCTATACTACAACTATTTAAAACTGTAATGACTCATACGCATGATCAACACGTGATCAGAGCTCGATCCCGGCTTCCTTCCAGTACAGCCGTATAACGTACGACATATGTCGTTTCTGTGGCTTTGCGGTGGTCAACAGCACAGACAGAGATGGAAATAATGGCTGATTGTTCTCCGCCGGTAGAACCAATGAAATCAAAGACGCGCCTCGACCGGCAGACTCATAGGCGTCGGCAACGCATTGGAACGTGTTTCGTTGAGCGATCGCATATTGTGTGTTTTTATAAGAATTGTTGTGTGATTGTTATTGTTGTGGTTTCTGTGGTTACTGTTTTGGTTATACTTAACCATGGAGAGTACAAATGGCACGAGTGGAAGTACTGAAAGCCAGGGAACAAGTAGACGGCTTCGTAAAGCACTGAAGAGGGACGCGAAAGAAATCGTGCTCAACGTGTTCAATTATCTGAACAGAACTATGTCGCAGGGAGATGCACTCGCGCGTTGTGAAAGTATGACAGGCGTTCCAGAGTGGACCATTCGCAGGGTGGTGCATGAAAAGAAGAAAACTGGAGCTACTACTGATCCAAAGTTAAATTTGAAGGGACGAAAGGCCGTTAAATTGGATGATGATAGCAAAATGGCATTAAGGCGAACCGTACATTCATTCTTCTTTAGCGAATGAGATACCAACCCTCAAGGCTGTACATGCAGCGATCAAGGAAAATGAAATTATACCCCAAATGAGCGTCGGAAGTCAGTATTGATAGAGAGACCTGAAATAGTCGCCTGGCGTCGAAAATACCTACGCGAAATGATTGAATATAGGCGACAAAGCAGAAAAATCTATTATTTGGACGAGACATGGGTAAATGCAGGTCACACAGTTAAAAAAACCTGGATAGACAAAAACGTAGTGTCCGTAACCGACAAGCAAGCATTGAAGGTTTGTCAACAGGTCTTCGTGGACCGTCAGGGAAAGGTCAAAGATTGATCGTAACTCATATTGGTAGCGATAGTGGCTTTTTAGAAGAGTGTGACTTGATTTTCGTCTCTAAGAAAGGAGGTGATTACTATGACGAAATGAATACCAGCTGCTTCGAGAGCTGGTTTCAAGGGGTGCTTCAGCGAGTTGAGCCCAACTCTGTGATCGTCATGGATAGTGCTTCCTACCATAGTCGTCGAGCCGAACGTGTACCGACTATGGGATCTCGAAAAAGTGACATGCAGCAATGGTTGCGCGAAAAAGGAATCCCGTTTGACGATTCATGTGTGAAAGCGGAATTGTATGAAAAAATTAAACAGCACGAGCCTGCGAACATTAGTTACGTGACTGATAAGATGGCCGGTCAATGTGATGTCACTGTGCTGCGGTTACCGCCCTACCACTGTGAACTGAACCCAATAGAGCTCATCTGGGCTCAAGTGAAGGGTTCTATTGCGCGCCATAACACAACCTTCAAATTACCAGACGTTAAGGTTTTACTTGAGACTTCCATACAACTAGTAACGCCCGAAGCTTGGCAGAATGCTATCCGTCATGTTGTGAAGGAAGAAACAAAAATGTGGCAGCTTGACCACCACATCGACACCATCATAGAGCCAGTTATAGTCAATTTCAACGAGGAAAGCGATAGCGACAGTTTATTACTGTCAGATGTAAGTGGAAGCGACGATGAATAAAGGTAATTCCCAAATTTTTGACTTAAAATATATTTCAAACCACTCTTTATTAAGCATGTGACAAATCTAGTTCACCCATGTTAAATATTCATACCCCGCCTATGAACAGCCGACTACTGGTAGTTAAGTGATGTTCACGTGAACATCGATGAGTCATTACAGTTTTAGATAGTTAACTGTATAATAAAATATACTACCAATTAAAATTATTTTAAGATTTTAACTAGTTTCTGTCAAGCTTAAAGTTAAGAGATATCGATATACCGAAGAGCATTTTTGTAACTTACGTCTTTTAGTGGTGCAACTTCGGCGAAGGAGTTCACTATATCGTCAGACAAGATCACTTTATTCGCTTTGGCCACTCGTATCACGACCTTCTTGGCTTCTTCGCGTCTTTCATTTGCCAGCAGCCATCGCACTGATTCAGGAATCATCCTGCAAGAAACTGAAACGGTTACATACAAAATGGTCTCCATAATTAGCATGATTAAAAATGGCGTCAATTTTAATCCTCTGAGAAAAATAGAGTTACGGTCATGTACAACAGAGGAATTAAATGTAATAAGTCATTAAACGGGTCTATACAATTAGTCCATAGATATTCTTTTCTTGCCATACCGCTATTTACCGTCTATCTGGCAACGTTGTCCCTTCCTACAGTATATTCAGATAAGAGATAGACCGGATGTAAACAAAAGGTTCGGGTGATTTTCACGCTAACGCCGCCGTCTCGACGTAAAACAGGAGCCCTCATTGGTCAATTCGCAATTAAATGCCTATGCCGAGCGGCAGAGCAGTCGTATCAAGGCAGAGTCACATTCAGGTTCAGACGTGTTACGTATGTCGTGTGCATCATTGCAATTTGATATTTCTTTGGACGTTTTCGTTTGTTATCTTATTAAGTTGTTGAGTTTGTCGTTGTTATTGTTATACCTTGTTATTGATTGTTATTGTTATCAACTGCTTGCGCAAAATGCCCAGTAGTACAGATACTGCCGATGAAGTTGTAAACTCCTGTAGTCCACCTAGGAAACGCTCTAAAAAAAGACACCTGAGTGCAGAAATGAAAGAGGTCATTTTGAATATATATAAGATCGAGCGCGAGGAGAACGAGGCATCAACCATCAAAGAAATTGTTGTGAAGGTTTCTCACAAAGTTGGGGTGTGTCGCGCATCAGTGTTTAATGTGTTAAGACAATACAAAAAAATCACACCTTTTCTGAGCCAATGAAGAGTAAAGATCGCAAAAGTATTGTTAAATCATTGGATGAAGCTGATAAGCATGCGATTAGGAGGAAAGTGCATGAATTCTTCTTTAGGAATGAAATACCTACTATAGATAAAGTACTGCAGGAGGAAAATGGAGATACAACGTTGCCAAATTTCAAACGATCAACATTCCATGCGTTACTGAAGCATTTAAATTTCAAATGGAAAAAACGGGGTCGTAATAGTTTACTACTGGATAGAGAAGAAATTGTGCTACGGAGGAGGGATTATTTAACAAAAATTGGGAAATATATAAATCAAAACAGGAAGATTTATTACCTTGATGAAACGTGGGTAAACCCAGGACACACTACAAGTAAAGTATGGGTTGATGATTCTGTAACTTCATCCAGGAGGGCCTTTCTAGATGGACTGTCCACCGGATTAAAAAATCCAGCAGGTAAATACGAGTAATAGACAACAATCGGATGTTTTTCAAACCTTGGGAACAAGGTTCTAAACATTAATTCCAGGGGGCAGATAAAACATATTACAAGTAACAAAACTTTTATAACTTGCGTGGATGTTTTATTGTCATTTTCATTTGTTAGAACTTTTTAAGCCATGTTTTTATGTGTTTTCGAGATTTCAATAATTTTTTAATATAATCTTAAAATATGTCGAATATTATAAACTTAAAAAAAGTTACTAAGTTTTATATTGTGTACCGTTCCTAATATTTCTAATCATTTTAATTCATACTTTAAGCTTTATAAAGTTATAATTTGTAATATTAATATTTGCGCGTATTTCAGGTTCCTGATCATTCATTTTTTAAAGGTTTATAACTTTAAATTAAATTGTGAAGCGCTGAGTAATCATACGACGTTCAATATTCTTTCTTTCAATATGACTAAATAATCCCAATTATAGCAATCTGATACTCATGTCTCAATGTTTTTTCGCTGAATGTGATGAAAACATTTGAAAAAGGTTCGTTTATTGAAATAAATCTACACCAGTTAGTTAGTTAGTACTTCGATTTCCAGGTAAAGGGAAAAGGCTCATTATCTGCCATATTGGCAGTGAGGATGGATTTGTTGTTGATGGTCTGTGGTGCTTTGAGTCTAAGAAACTGGAGATTACCACGAGGAAATGAATGGCGAATCGTTTGAACAGTGGTTTTCAAAAATTTTACCGAACTTAGAGGAAAACGCAGTAATTGTGTTGGATAATGCGCCTTATCATTCTCGAAGAATGGAGAAGGTCCCAACAACGGCTTCAGGAAAGTTGATGTTCAAAATTGGCTCCGCTCGAAAAATATCAACTTGAAGAAGCAATGCTGAAAGTACAATTATTAAGAATTGTCAAGGATCACAAGCGGAATATCAAAAATACGCCATTGACGAAATGGCACCAAGTCAAAATAAAACTGTGCTCCGTTTACCTCCATACCATTGCGAGCTCAATCCCATTGAGCTCATATGGGCAGAGGTTAAAAATTATATAGCTAAGCACAATACAACTTTTAAATTTTGTGACCTCAAAGGACTTTTCAAAGAAGCACTAGAATTAATAACAGCGCAAAAATGGGAAAACTGTATTAAGCACGTGAAAGACAAAGTTGAAAAGAGAATGTGGGAACTGGACAATATTTTAGAGGAACAAGTCGAGCCATTCATTATTGACGTTGGTGCTTCAGGCAGTAGCGATGATGAAAGCTCATCAAGCTCATCTTTCCAATAAAAGATGTCGTTCATCAAATTCGGTAAGTTATAAGTAATTATAAAGCTATTGTATTTTTTAATTAATTATTGACATTTTTGAACCCATTTTGGCAAAACCTATTCAAGAATCTACTTTCTGACAATGTTCAAACCATGCACATTTTTTTACGTTTTGAACGTTTTAATTTGGTTGCATATTTACCTAGAAATCAAAAAATATACTAATCAATATTCTAAAAGCAATTTTAATAGATATACGATTATTTTAATTTAGGCTAATTTAAACGCCATTTTGAGATTATATTCGACTGTATTTCACCAAACATCAGGCGGCATCCGAAGCTGGAAATCGAAGCGAACATTTTGAAACCCTTATGTATATTTACATCATTATATATTTCTTACCCCACCCCCACATGATCCTATATCCATCACCAATCGTATACACATCGAATTGTGCTAATTTATTACAAAGTTACGCAAAGCAGCATCTACTATCTAAAATATGTACTGCGTGACTCTTAATACGTCCCTGCCGAATGTTACAGCGTTCGATGATCACGTGGTCTTGTTTATGTCCGGTCTATCTCTTATCTGAATATACTGTATATCGTCAGACGCGGCACTGTCACGGCGGTAGTATGAGCAAAACAATCAAGCAGAGCGTTACGCCGGGCGGTGAGCCCAGATAGCAGAAAAACACTCCTCTATCATTACAAGCTTTAAAGAGAAATTGACGGGGAAACCTTTGATATGTAAAACACACACACCCCATCCCCTGATTTTTTACCTCTAAAATTTTTTTCAAACAAGACTTTTACTATTTCGTTTGCGGCCTTCTTCTTCACCGTCACTGAACCGATTTTCAAAAGCTACAATACTTTTTTGTCCATGGCGTAAATGTAACCTTTTGTAAGAATTTCATCCAAATCCCAGCAGTGGTTTCCAAGTTTCAGAGGGGCCAACGATAATCGGACAAACCGACAGACAGATACACGACACACAGACACACGACACACAGACCAACGAAAATAATGACACGATTTTTCATGGTGAATATAATAATAATAATAATTAACGTCTTTTATTTGTAATATTCTTACAGGAAGCGAGATTTAGATTATATATCTATTCTACCATCTAACCCCCTTAACAATACTAGATGTAAAAAAGAAAAAAAAGAATTTGTTGAAAATTAATAGGCACCTGTATACAATAACGAATAATCCAAGTAAATACATAAGGAACATATGAGGACACTTATGGGTTACAACCGATTTCGCTGCTGATCAAGAAGAACTTCTTTCACTTTTTTCTTGAATTTGGATAATGGATTGGTTTCTTTTAAACTGCGGTCTAAAGAATTATATGATTTGATCGCATTGTAAATGTATGAATTCTGAAATAGAGACGTGCTGTGGCGTGGAATTGAAAAAGTCTCTCTATATCTAATATTAATACGATGCATATTCCCTCTACGTATGAATTTGTTTACTAATATGACGGTGTTTTTGAATAAAGAACCTTGTGAGTCAGATTTAGGAGCTGGTACTTATACATTTTATTAATTTTCATCCATTTGAGTTCATTAATGGCATTCGATATATGATCATATTTTCTGAGATCATTTACAAGCCTGCAACATGTATTCATAATACTTTGAATACGATTTCTTGTTATAATATCTAAATAGGGATAGTAAACCCACTAAGCAATACGATATCTTTGAAAACACGAAATATTCACACAATTGCTTTCTCGCAGATTTATGTAATATAGCCTTATTTGCAAATAAAACTCTGAGAATAGCGTAGCACTGAGTAATTAGATAGTTCACGTGTGCAACAAATTTTAAGTCATCATACATTATAATACCTAGGTTTTTCGAATGATCCACAGGAATTAATTTATTACCCTTTAAATGTATGTCTATGTCCTTTTTTAAGGTATTCTTTTTTGTTCTATTTGCATATACTAACATATTTGTCTTCAAAGGGTTTAAACGAAGATTATGACTACTACTGAACTTTTCAATTTGGACAAGATCTTGATTAATTTTATTATTTGCCGTTTCCAAGTCATTACTCCTAAATGAATAGAAAACTTGAGTATCATCTGCAAAAAATTGTATGCTGCATGATTTTACCTCTGTTTCTAATATATATATATAATGAAAATAATAGCGGTCCTAAGACTGATCCCTGTGGTACACCAGAACAAATTTTTTGTTCCGAAGAGTACTGTTGATTTAGACGAACTTTTTGATACCGATTTTCAAGGTAGGTTTGAATAAACGAAAGAGGTTTTTCAGAAAATCCATAGTAACTGCATTTAGATACAAGAAGTGAGTGATTAATGGTGTCAAATGCTTTAGTAAAGTCAAGAAGTATGAGAGCTACTGCTTTTTGGTTATCAAGTGCCATTGTTATATTGTCTGTTAAATCACAGAGTGCCAAAGCTGTATTATGACCTTGTCGAAATCCAGATTGTTTAGATGGAATAATTTTGTTACAATATGGCAATATAAAATCAAAAAAACAATATCTCGTTCTCAAAAATTGTCGCGATGAAAATACTTCAGTGGCGTAGAGTAAACGAGAGAAAAAGTACTTACCAATAATAAACAACAAATATAATCGCGGGGGTAGACACTAACAGCTGCAAATATACCCAGTCTCTGGTATACCAGGCCAAAGGTGCCACAATAGCCTCTCCAACAGCGTAAAAGTAGTTCAAAGTGATACCAGCGACCTCTCTCCTCTTCTTACCCACCATTTCCACTCCGATGATGAACGCCAAAGGGTAAACTCCAGCGGTGCCCAGGGAATTGATGAAAATGAGGCTGACGAATGTCCAATATTCCGGTGAGATGACTTGGAGACATCCGGAGACGCTCATTAGCAGAATGCACCAGATGAACACTAGCTTTCTCCCGAATCTGAAATAAATACATATAATGATCTCGAAAACTTAGAAAAATGATTTTCTGGCATTTCTTCTTTTTAAATTGGATATCTATAATTTTAGTTACAATTCACTTGGAATCAACTTTTAAAGGCTAAACGCCGATCATTTTTAAGCCAATGTATGCACCTTGAACAGTATTGGGATACTCAGAAACTACAGCTTAGAACTATGAAAAAATATTGCTGCAATCGAGCAAATGTATCCTATTTCTACCTCAAATATGACTGAGATGCTTGAAAAGTAAATCTAACATAACGTGGTACTGCCGTGAATAGAAGCCAATACATGAACATTCCTCATCTTCCCCAATTTCGATCTATCCACGAAAATATCCGAAAAAGTGGGAAAGCATACCCGTAACTGGAGTGGCCTCCATTCTTTCCTTGTCCAGATGTATCAGTTTTTGAAAAATATACTAAGTGACATATAAATTCGAACACCCAGTTTAAATGGTTTTATTTTAATAAAAGTTGGTGAATGCATTTATCTTACTGTAAATAACAAGTGAAAAAATTTTCAGCTTTATCAGTTGGACATTCCGGTTTTTATACTGCCTTTTTTTAATTCACTAACGCTCTAAAAATGAATATTTCAGCCGCAGTAAAGAATCAACGTTGGCGGATTTTGGTTCTTGACATTCTTTACGATCGGTTACGATGCCTAGAGTACGGAGACCTGTACGATTTCGTCAACTTAGTGAGTTTGATAGGGGCCGTATAGTGGGACTTCGGGAAGCTGGACTTTGTTTTCGGGCAATTGCAGTTAGAGTGCAAAGAAGTGTAGACACTGTGGTTAGGTGTTGTCAGGCATGGCTTCGAGAAGGCCGTACGCAAAGAGCAAGGGGCACTGGACGCCGCTGTAGAACAACAGATCGTGAAGATCGCCGCCTAAGATTATTGGCCTTAAGGGACCGTTTCTCCACTACCAGGCCCATTGCAAATGAATGGTTTGCAGAACACGGAAGACCTATTGGCATGCGAAGTGTTTACCGACGAATGAGAAGTTTTGGCTTGTTTTCATACCGGCCACACTGGGTCCTCCCTTTAACTCGAGAACACCGACGTAATCGCCTTGAGTGGTGCAGTCAACGGTCACTCTGGGATCAGGAATGGAACAGTATTGTCTTTAGTGACGAGTATCGATTTTGTTTAGGCATGCACGATGGTCGTGCCAGGGTTAGAAGGCGACGTGGTGAAAGGAGGAATTCACAGTTTTTTGTTGAAAGACATGTTCATCACACTGTTAGAGTTATGGTTTGGGGTGTTATAGCTTATGGTTCCAGGTCACCTTTAATCTTCATCAGAGGTAACATGAACGCGCAGCGTTATATCCACGAAGGCACGAAGTTCTAGAACCCCATCTTTTACCCTATCTTGACACCCTGGCAGATCCATTTTTCCAACGAGATAATGCCCGACCACATGTTGCAAGAGTCATAATAGACTTCTTTCAACATAATGATGTCACATTATTACCATGGCCACCAAGATCTCCCGACTTATCCCCAATTGAGCACGTGTGGGATATTATGGGTAGGAGATTGCTCAATTTGCAACGTTCTCCTCAGACTCTAGAAGCACTTCGAGAGGAGTTGGTGGTTGCCTGGAATGAGATACACCAGGAGGACACTGACCACCTGATCAGAAGCATGCCTAGGCGCGTTGGAGAATGCGTAGCACATCAGGGTGCATCCACACATTATTTAAGGTCAAAGGGCTTTAAAGCAGTGCAATCATTTTGAAATTTTTATCATTTACTTATTATGCTTCATTAAGTACTTATACAAAATTTTATTAAAATAAAACCATTTAAACTGGGTGTTCGGATTTATATGTCACTTAGTATAGTATGGCAATAGCATGGTATCAACATACTACATTAAGAAAACATGTCCTGAATTCGATTTTGACAATCATGAAAAACAAAGGTTTTTATTTGCTTACTGGTTTAAGAAGTAAAATGTGCTAAAACTAGTTTTTGTTTGTTAATCATAGCTTTTTCAATTTATATTAAATTTACCTATCTGCCATAACACCGAACACGAAAGATCCTATGATGATACCTGCAAAATGCGAAGAGCCCACCAATGACAATTTCCATTGATTTTCTACACAGGTGATGTTCCACTGAAACCAAAATTTCTACAATTATGTCTTATAAATTTACGTATCTATATACAGTTTAGGAATGATTTGTATACGGATGAGGGCCAAATGAAACAGGAAGAGTTGGTCTAGCTACAACTCAAAATTATACCATTAGTAAGCTTGAATGATAGTTATTTGTGCTTCTAGGGCGTAAAGTGAGTGTGAAATTAGAGTTCAATAATGTCCAAAAATGTTTCCTTACAAAAACTCGGGGTGTTGAAGTTTTAGGAAAAAAAAATGGAAATTAATGAATATTTTTAGAACCGCTTCAGATATTTCACTGATATTTAGTACGTGGTGAAAGTTAATAAAGTTGCATATTTTTCAATGCAAAAATAATTTTCAGCTCTAACAGTGGCGTGCGTACGGGTATTGATTTCGATATTTTTTGAGAAAAAAATGGTACGCCAATAGTTTTTTGCCAAATAAAAATTATTTTTGAATTCCCTGTTCAATTTAAAACAAATGATCTTTCTCGAATTGTTTTCCTTCGATGCGCCGTTTTTGAGTAAAAAAATAAAAACCGTTCTATTGTCTAACTTGCAAAATTATTATTCATTTAATTGGAAAAATTAAACACATTAGGGGTAATGAACAACAACAACTGACAGCATAAACATAACATTAAAACCAACGAAATGATTACAAAAATTATTGAAAATGGTTCTCTTCACATGCTTCCGCCCTCCTTCTCATGGAATTGCGCAGTCGTTGAAATATCCCTGGAGTGTCTTTTATTCTATTACAAGCTGCAACTATTCTTTCTCTTAATTCCTCTACAGTGTTAATGGGACTTGTGTACACTATACTACAACTATTTAAAACTGTAATGACTCATACGCGTGATCAACACGATATCAGAGCTCGATCCCGGCTTCCTTCCAGTACAGCCGTATAGCGTACGACATATGTCGTTTCTGTGGCTTTGCGGTGGTCAACAGCACAGACAGAGATGGAAATAATGGCTGTTCTCCGCCGGTAGAACCAATGAAATCAAAGACGCGCCTCGACCGGCAGACTCATAGGCGTTGGCAACGCATTGGAACGTGTTTCGTTGAGCGATCGCATATTGTGTGTTTTAATAAGAATTGTTGTGTGATTGTTATTGTTGTGGTTTCTGTGGTTACTGTTTTGGTTATACTTAACCATGGAGAGTACAAATGGCACGAGTGGAAGTACTGAAAGCCAGGGAACAAGTAGACGGCTTCGTAAAGCACTGAAGAGGGACGCGAAAGAAATCGTGCTCAACGTGTTCAATTATCTGAACAGAACTATGTCGCAGGGAGATGCACTCGCGCGTTGTGAAAGTATGACAGGCGTTCCAGAGTGGACCATTCGCAGGGTGGTGCATGAAAAGAAGAAGCTTAATTTGAAGGGATGAAATGCCATTAAATTGGATGACGATAGCAAAATGGCGTTAAGGCGAACCGTACATTCATTCTTCTTTAGGAATGAGATACCAACCCTCAAGGCTGTACATGCAGCGATCAAGGAAAATGAAATTATACCCCAAATGAGCGTCGAGGTAATGAGGAAATCCCTGCACGAAATTAATTTTCGTTACGAAACGCGTAATCGGAAGTCAGTATTGATAGAGAAACCTGAAATAGTCGCCTGGCGTCGAAAATACCTACGCGAAATGATTGAATATAGGCGACAAAGCAGAAAAATCTATTATTTGGACTAGACATGGGTAAATGCATGTCACACAGTTAAAAAAACCCGGATAGACAAAAACGTAGTGAGTAACCGACAAGCAAGCATTGAAGGTTTGTCAACAGGTCTTCGTGGACCGTCAGGGAAAGGTCAAAGATTGATCGTAACTCATATAGGTAGCGATAGTGGCTTTTTAGAAGAGTGTGAGTTGATTTTCGTCTCTAAGAAAGGAGGTGATTACCATGACGAAATGAATGCCAGCTGCTTCGAGAGCTGGTTTCAAGGGGTGCTTCAGCGAGTTGAGCCCAACTCTGTGATCGTCATGGATAATGCTTCCTCAATGTGGTGTCACTGTGCTGCGGTTACCGCCCTACCACTGTGAACTGAACCCAATAGAGCTCATCTGGGCTCAAGTGTAGGGTTATATTGCGCGCCATAACACAACCTTCAAATTAACAGACTTCCATACAGCTAGTAACGCCCGAAGCTTGGCAGAATGCTATCCGTCATGTTGTGAAGGAAGAAACAAAAATGTTGCAGCTTGACCACCACATCGACACCATCATAGAGCCAGTTATAGTCAATTTCAACGAGGAAAGCGATAGCGACAGTTTATTACTGTCAGATGTAAGTGGAAGCGACGATGAATAAAGGTAATTCCCAAATTTTTGACTTACAATATGTTTCAAACCACTCTTTATTAAGCATGTGACAAATCTAGTTCACCCATGTTAAACATTCATACCCCGCCTATGAACGGCCGACTACTGGTAGTTAAGTGATGTTCACGTGAACATCGATGAGTCATTACAGTTTTAGATAGTTATAGCCCCACAAAAAGAAATCTAAGCTGTTGAGGTCTGGGGATCTTGGTGGCCATTCTTGGGCGCTGGTGGCGCTGGTGCACCATCATGCATGTACCACATATTATTTCTTATTACTAACGGAACATCATCAAGCAGCAAAGGCAACTGTTGTTGAAGAAAATTGAGGTAAGTCTGTACGTCAAGTCGTCCCGGCAAGAAGAATGGGCCAATAAAGTGGTTGCCAATAATTCCTGCCCATACGTTAACCGAAAATTGGTGTTGGTTGTGGGTTTCGGTTACGGCATAGGGATTTTCTTCTGCCCACAAATGATTATTGTGGAAATTCTGAATGGCATTTAGAGAAAAATTAGCTTCGTCCGTGAACAGAATCATTGATTCAAATTGCGGATTTTGTGTAATTTTTTGAAGATACCACTGACAAAAGGTCACACGCCTTGCAAAATCAATGGGAAGTAATGCCTGCACTTTTAAAATATGGTAAGGATATAACAAAAAATCCACTAAAATTCTCCAAAGAATTTGATGGCAAATACTTCAGTGTCTAGCGATCATCCTCGTACTCGTTTCAGGATGTTCTTCGACTTCGTGCAGCACTGCTTCCTCAATTTCAGGTGTTCACACACTTAGAGGTCTACCTTCAGATGTTCCTTTTCGAGCAGAACCAGTTTCAACAAGACGACGATGAATACATTTTTTATGCGACATATGGTAATATTTATTGTTAGCTATTATTTTTTTTCTTCCGAGTTACTAGATGTTGAACTGATCTCTCTACATTTGCATACTATTTCTTGCTGTTGCAAAGGTGACACAAAATCTTAGAATAACAGATGAATTTTGAGGTTCCTCGGCATTTGATGGTATCCCTGTCATTCTGTTTATGAGTTGGTGATCGTCAATTTGATCAACTGTGAAAACTTCCACTTACATCGTTCACAATTGTCCTTTCAACATTGTCGAAAACGAACTCGGAGCATTTCTCTGTCACGTTCATGAACAAACTATCTGAACACGTTCTGTTGGTTTCTCCAGGTCTGGACATGTACCGATAACACAAATCGCTTTTCACACCAATTGCATGTACGGCACTAGGGTCCGGGATAGCCCACTTTCTCCAAGGCACGTCGTATGTGGTGTCAGATGGGTCTTCACATTCCGGTATGAAACACCTGCAAACATATCAGGGTTAAACTTCTCAATCTACCAAATACCTCGGCGAACCCTAAGGAGCAAAGCCCATTGGCGTAGCGGTAGAAGAGAGTTAGATCGCGCAATCTGTAAAAATAATAATAATAATAATAATCGTCTTTATTGACCAACACATGGTACATTACATGGGGCGAGATTTAGCACCTGCTATTCCACCATCTAACCCCGTACAAAAGTGAAAAAAAACAAGTTATACGAAAACAAAAAATAAAAAATGTGAAACTACAAAGATTAAGTCACAGTATAATAGGACTATTTATGCCAATTTAGCTATAAAAAGAAGATGAGATAATAGGTTACATTATAATAGGACTATTTGTGCCAATTTAGCTATAAAAAGAAGAAGAGATAATAGGTTATGAAGAAACGGAAAAATAACTAATGAAAAATAAAAAAAGTATGAAAATGAAAGAACTTCTTAAGCTAGCGGTTGTTTTGCAATTCTTGTAAATATCTTTACATCTGTACACGTGTAAACTCATAGGAAGTGACGTCAAAGTTCGTTTGCACGTCGCAATATCAGATTCTTTCTTGATTTTTAATTCAACTGAACATTTAAGTACTAAGTAACTACAAACTACTCTAAATTACTTTCCATATTTATGGAGGAAAATACTCTGTATACTGTACCTATAATCTGGCACACCAGCCGTGAAAACGTAGCTCAGACTGTTTGATGCAGCGAACAATACTGGCAGGCATATAAGAATATAGAGAAACACTTGGTATCTTCCCATTTCTCCCAGTTCCACCAGGATGTCATCGAAGTCCATGTGATGGCCTGCTTCATTTTTGAGGCTAGTTGTCATTGGCTATACGGACGACAGACCTGAAAGCATTCAATTTGCTACAGAAACCGTGTCTTCAAAGAATAATAACAAGAAAAGTGAGGATTGCTAGAAAGAATTTCAATGATCATAGGCTCAATCGTAATGATGATATGATGAGGAAAAGTGACAGAACAATTAATGAATGTAAGCAACCGTCACATGTATGCAAGATATTTGGAAGGCATTTAATAATTTCTTTGAGAACGTCAAGCTGTAACCTTGATCTACAATTCTGTTTTTCCTGACACCGGTTGTACCTCAGGGAATGCAGGATATCAAAACTGCCAAGCAAGCAGCAGGCACAGATGAGATAAGTGGAGCGGCGACAACATCGGTAGATGATATTTTAATGAAAACACCGTTTTTACTTTTTAAACTCTAATTTATTACTCTTACACTAATTTATAACAACATTTGCAACTAATTTATGACAAACTTGTTGTCGACGCGTTCGGCGCTGTCACTTTGTTCTAGGGGACTGGATATTTATTTTAAATTGGCAATCCCGAGCTTTATCGACGCTTTCGAGATGTCGATCAGTGCTTCTCGAAAGCTCCCGATGATGACCGAACCGTCTGCAAGCTATACCATCGGTGACGCACGGTGGCGTAACTCTAGTTGCCTATCCAAGCGTCCATGTTTCCCGAACCGTTGCTAATCTTTTGGTATCCAAAGTTATAGCTACAATATTATTAGCAAACCACTGTCTTATCATATAAAGGAATCATTTGCAGGATCCAAGTGGACTTAAAATATCTAAAGATTTGCTAGTTTTTAGAAACAAAGGTGCCAAAGCCCAAATTTTGAATAACAGAAACATATGGCTCCCTAACCAATTAGCAAAAGTCATGTTTGTGGTTTTATATCAGGCTGAGTAAATTTTCGGTACTCATAAAGAAAAGTTATGAGTTTAGAGAGAGTGATAAGAAATTTTTTTCAAACTGCTTGACATAAAAAATTTATTGAGACCGTTTGATTATAATGGCAAATGAGTAAAAGGTGGATACAATAGATGCAACACATTCATTTCCTACGATGAAAACGTTGACTCCGTATACTCTTGCTGAACGTGCAATTCGAGTAGCGTAACTCCTCCCACCATAGACATTTACTTAGGATTGGTACAACAGAAAAGGTCAAGATTCTTGAGATTCTCGCCATGGTGGTTGAAAAATCATTTTTTTTCCTGTACCTTGAATAACTCTCAGAGCCGTGTAGATAATGATGACGATTGCAATGATGTTGATAACTGACCATATCGGGATCTTCTATTTCCAGTTGCGTGGTCATCTCGACAATTTGAGTGGCTTCATTTTTTCATTCACTGCTTCCATGGATTGGTTTCTGATGGCTGGTTAATTCCTTAGTGTTCCAAACTTGTATTTCTGGTACTGAAAGCTGCATCCTGGTGGTACTTGTACTAGATTGCAGCCAGGACATCTGGTTTTAACTTTTAGTAACCTGATGGATGATGACATATTTTTCTTTGATTTATTGATTCCACGTGAGCAGAGCCGCAGGTTTAGTCTAGTATTTTATTTCTTAATCATGGATTTCACTGTACATTTGTCCTCAAAACTTGGGGAATTATGTTCAACATGCATACCTGCGTGAACCGCCATGGCTGGCGAGTGGCGAGGTTAGTCATAGCAACGTTGCCAGGTGGTCGATACTGTCGGTAGGGTAGGGGAGAAATTATGGACTAGTTATACGAGCCGATTTGACAACCTTGATCCATTCAATGTAATTTTTTTGTTACACATGCTGGTAGCTAACTTTTTTCTTAGAGAGTCTAGCTCTGGCCGAACTAATGACAGCTTTGCGTGGGAAGTACAGAGTTAGCCTTCTTGACGCGATTTTTTCTCCCATTCAATCGACACTCCATGTTAATTTACTTGGCTCCATTTTTTGTTTGCTTTCAAATGAAAGAACATCATCAGAAGTGGGAAAAAAATTCCACCTTGAGAAATAATTACCCTAAACACTCCCTTTGATTTAAATTCGCATCACGTAATTAAAATACCATTTATACTTTTTTATAACGAGCACTCATCTTTTAAATTGCCGTGGCTTTATGACCTATAGGCGGTATAACCATCAAAAGCGTGTAAACGTGTACATTAGATTATGAAAATCCATATATCTTGCACGGCTATAGAAATAAAATAATTAAATTACACGAAGTGCATTATTGCTACATTATGCATGTCATTTTCTCTTACAAGTTTCTACTTTATTTAATAGATATTATTTTTAGTGTCTGTCTGGTACAAAAAAACCGGAGACTACCATGAAGAAATAGATGGAACCTCATTCGAAAATTGGTTCTCTAATACCCTACAGAAGCTTGAAGATAATTCGGTTATAGTATTATTAGTTATTATAGTTTATTGTTGCATAACTTTAAGATTCGATAGAACTTTTAAAATTAATGCATAAAGTCTATATAAACATGGGTCGAAAAATGCGTGGCTTCCGAAATACAGGGTGTTTAAATTTACTTTCTAAAATAGTTTTATTTTAAATATTTCGAACAATATTTGATGTATAACAGTGAAAATTGGTATACATGGGTTTTTTGGTACGACAAAACGAACCATGGGCATTGTTTTACTGTAGCCGCTAGAGGGCGCTCTCTACTGTACCTGTAGTGTATTAAAATGACCGAACATTTTTTCTTAGTGCAATTTTTTGCTTTTTGAATAAAAAAACTGATTCTTCGCACTTTTCAACATAAAAAAGCTCTCCTGCGAGTTTTCGTTATAGTTAGCCGTTTTAAGATATTTCGATTTTTAAGGTTCGATGCATTTTTAATTATTTATGGGAAAATAATTTTTTTTACATTTTCGATTTGAGCATTACAAGTAATTAAGATGATCGTTTAGATTGTGTTTTTAAACACAGCAATAATTCCTAACTCCAAATAAACACAAAAAACAGAATATTAATTTGTTTAATCTTCTAATATTATTTTTAACAAATGAAATTAATTATTTACAACTAAAATGCTATTGGCTGGTTAGGACACACATACAAAATCTAAAGTAGTTGCTCGAAATGTAAACTCAATTGTTCAATACACAATTCACATCTACGAATGGTCGAACGTGGTATAGCATTATTCAAATAAGGCCTTATTTCATCACATGTATTCCTGATTCTGTCTATTAACATATTTCTTGTGGTGACGGGAGTCTGGTACACTTTTTCTTTTAGAAATCCCCACACAAAGAAATCTAATGGATTTAGGTCAGGGGATCGTGGAGGCCAGGCGACTGGTCCTCCACGGCCGATCCATCTTTCTGGATAATTTTCGTCCAGCCAGTTTCTAACTATTCTCGAATAATGAGCTGGACAACCACCAAGCTGGAACCAGGCCAATCTTCTTAAATCTAACATAACATTATCCCACATATTTGCATGTTCAGCCTTTAAAAATTCCAAGAAGGTCGCAGCATTTAACCTTGCAGGCAAAAGGTAGGGTCCAAATAGTCGATTACGGTTGATACCAATCCACACGTTCACACTAAATTCATGCTGAAAATTTCTTTCCCGAACTGCATGCGGATTTTCATGCGACCAAATATGTTGATTATGAAAATTTACCACTCCACGTCTAGTGAAGCATGACTCATCGGTCCATAAAACATTACTTAAAAACTCTATCAAGAATCCAGTGACAAAATGAGATTCTTCGTTCTCCGTCCCCCGGCTGTAGTCCTTGCACAGGTTGAAAATGGTAAGGACGTCTATGGTCATTTCTAAGAACACGGTGAACATGGCTTGCTGAAATTCCCAAGGCACCAGAAACTCTCCTAACACTTGTGGTCGGATTTCTATCAAACTCACGTAGAATCATACGGGTAAATTTGCGATGACGAACATTTATCTTTTGATCCCTTTGGAGATTTCCAAAACCATTTTCAATTATTTGGCGATGCACTCTTACAAATACTGAGCGAGTTTGATGTCGTCTGTTTGGCAATCTTCGTGCGTATTCTCTGGCTGCTTCTGCTGCGTTTCCATTTACAAAGCCATGCACAAAATGAATATCTGCTCTTGATTGGAGAATAAAAATGGCATTTTTATAAAACTTACAAAAAAAAACAGGTAAAAGAAAATGAATTTCATGCATTCATAATTGCAAAAAAACGTTTCAGGTTTCAACAGACAACAAAACTAACTGTCAACTAATTGACGTTTAACCTTATTCTGCTTTCAATTTCGAAAATATTTGCAGGCACAGCCTACTTCTAAAAATTATGGAGATACTGACTTTTTAACTTTATTTTATCATAAATAATTAAAAATGCATCGAACCCTAAAAATCAAAATATCTCAAAAACGGCTAACGATAACGAAAATTCACAAGAGAGCTTTTTTATGTTGAAAAGTGTGATAAATCCGTTTTTTTATTCAAAAAGCAAAAAATTGCACTAAGAAAAATTTTTCGGTCATTTTAATACACTACAGGTACAGTAGAGAGCGCCCTCTAGCGGCTACAGTAAAACTATGCCCATGGTTCGTTTTGTCGTACCAAAAAACCCTTGTATACCTACCAATTTTCACTGTTAGACATCAAATATTGTTCGAAATATTAAAAAAAACTATTTTAGAAAGTAAATTTATTAGTATTTCGGAAGCCACGCATTTTTCGACCCATGTTTATATAGACTTTATGCATTAATTTTAAAGGTTCTATCGAATCTCAAAGTTATGCAACAATAAACTGAAACACCCTGTATAATGCTTCATACCACACGAGAATGTTCCAACAACGTCGACAAAAAAATCAGAAATTCAAGGATTTCTTAAAAATAAAAAGATTGTTTATGATGATACAATGGTTAAGGCAGAATTGTTACAAGTTGTCGAATGGCCAAAAAACAAAATTCGATTGAGCTCATTTGGGCAGACATAAAAAAATATGTTGCAGCAGAAAATAAAAGTTTTAAATATCTTTCATGATGCTATACAAAGAATAACATCGAATAAGCGG